TGAATAGCTACAGTAATAGTGCTCGGCTTTCAAAAATCTGCCTTCTATTGTTATTTTTCTCAAGCTGCTGTCATGTAACTGGTTAAAAATGAATGGCAGTTAGAGTTGTAGCAGATGAGCCAGGAATGAGTTAGCAGTTACTTGTTGGGATTCTTTCCAGAGAAGGAAGGTGGAGTTTTAAGCTGCTCGCAGCCTTTCTAAAATAAGAGTCAAAGTGAGTAAGTGCTTTGTGTTGTGGATGAAACACTGAGCAACTTCCAGAAGGGAACTAAAGGGCTCAGTAAGCGAGGAGAATAATTTTATTTTGAATATTCTATCTAGTGATATTTGGCTATAAAATAATCCACTCATTAAACCTGTTATGTATTTCAGTATACTGCTCCTGATCTCCAGGGGATCTGCGCAGTGAAGTTACTATGCCAAAAGCAAATAGGGTAGTGCCGAAATGTGTTGAAAGTGCACCAACCTGCCTTGCTCTTGAGCATCCTGTGTGCTCTATGTGGAGTTTTAGTAGGCCTAAATACTAATAACCCGTCTCACCTGTGTGGGACAATATGCACCTAGTGATTAGAAGCTGCTGCTTTTTCCTTACATTCCCCCTTCCTCCTTAGCAGGCTACAGGTGCTTTATTGATAGTGGTACCTGGTTGTTTTACAGATACTCTCTAGCAGAGACAGACCAGAAAATTGAGCTGTAAGGAACTAAAAGCTTGCCCCCCCCCGCCCCCAGCAAAAGTAATACTGAGTGCTTGTGATATGTTGTACCTCTGGACAGAACAAGCATGTTACTTAACAAAATCAAGTTGTCACTAATTTGCTATGTTGAATTAAGAAATCTCTTAATGTATCTTTCGTTGGTATAATGGGGTATTATGTAGCGTTCAGACTTCAAAACTTGTGTCAGTATAGACAAACACTTCTTCACTGGCATGAGTCAGAATAAAAAATAGATTCATGTCTCCTCAGATTATATTATATTTAAAATGATACATTTATTTTTCACCATTAAATTAAGCAGTAAGAATGTAATCCTGTTCTGTGAAATTGCATTTGGAGCCCTCTCTGAGCAAGCCAGATATATCTTGGAGAGAAGCATTAAGAGCAGCAGAATATATTGATTTAAGATTTGAACTATAAAGGGTAACATTCCCAGGCCAAGCGTGATAATGCCTCTGCAGTGCTGTGCATAGGCATCAGAGCTCGCAGGGACTCCGGTATTTGTATATAGGACTCATTAGCAATGCATCTGTGGGGGCACTGACATGTCAAAAGGACTCTTTTTATCCCCAGTTATTGTAAATTTATGTTTGGGCCTTAATCCAAGGTCTTCTGGACTCGAATTCACATGCATGGGATTAAATACATATTCAGGTGCTTTAGAAAATTTAGTAGTTAATTCCTCTCTGCCCCCATAAGGGATATGTGGCAGAAGAATGGCAGGAACGTACTTAACCGTGAAGCATCAAGGGTTTATAAAACTGCACCTTTTCTATTGAGCTATTCCTGGAAAAAAAAACAAGCTGAACCAGAAAACTGGAGAGAGAATTTTGGTTGTGTTTGCTTAAAATAGGAGGCTTAAAATAATGCTAGTTGTTACCATACAGATTTTTATATGCCAACCTTTCATGAATCAGCAGGGAGGGGGGACTTTTAAACTGAAATATTTACATGAATCAGACATCTGGGTTTTGGAGGAGTGACCGTTGCCGCACAAACAGTTTAAACTCTGAAGCTTTGCTGTGACTTAGTGTTTCCCCTCTATTAAGGAAGGATTGCAGGATATTGGTGCTGGTAGCACTGAGAACAT